CAAAAAAAAAAAAAAAACCCACACTCAAACGCATCACTCACAGGCAATATGAAGCAATTTTACAAGCAAGTCTACAAAACAAACAGCCAGCAATATGACAACAGAATCAAAATCTTGTATATTAACACTAACTCTGAATGTAAATTATCTAAACATCCATCTTAAAAGGCATAGAGTGGCAAGCTGTATAAAAAGACAAGAGCCAACTGTCTGCTGTCTTCAAGAGACACATCTCACATGTAATGACACCCACGGGCTAGAAATAAAGGAATGGAGAAAGATCTAACATGCAAATAAACAACAACAAAAAAGCAAGAGTCACGATTCTAATATCAGATAAACAGAGTTTAAGCCAACAACAACCAAGAAAAATAAAGAAGGGCATTACATAATGATAAAGGGTTTATTTCAACAAGAAAACTTTACTATCCTAATATATATGCACCTGACACTGGAGCACCCAGATTTATAATAACAAGTTTTTGACCTACAAAAAGATTCAGACAGCCACAAAATAACATAGGGGACTTCATCACCCAACTGACAGTGCCAAACAGATCATTGAGGCAGAAAACTAACAAAGATATTCTGAACTTAAACTTGACACTTGCCCAATTGGGCCTAATAGGCATCTACAGAATATTCCATCCAACAACCATAGAAAATATATTATTTTCATCTACACATAGAACATATTCTAAGATTGACCATATGCTTGGTCATAAGGCAAGTCGCAATAAATTCAAAAAAAATTAAGACATACTAAGCACACTCTTGGACCACAGTGCAAAAAAAAAATACCAATAATATCTCTCAAAACTATATAAGAACATGGAAAACAAACAATTTGCTTCTAAATAACTATTGGGTGAACAACAAAATTAGGGCAGAAATTAAAAAGTTCCTTGAAATCAATGAAAATAGAGATACAACTCACCAAAATCTTTGGAATGCAGCTAAAACAGTGTTAAGAGGAAAGTTTATAGTGCTAAATGCCTTCATGAAGACGTTGGAAAGAGCTCAAATTAATGATATAACATTGTACCTTAAAGATATAGGGGAAAAAAAAGAATGATCCAACCCCAAAGATAGCAGAAGAAAAGAAATAACTAAAATCAGAGAACTGAATGAAATAGAGACCAAAAAGTCCATACAAAAGATTAATGAAACCAATAATTGTTTCTTCAAAGGAATAAACAAGACTGATAGATCACTAGCTAGATTAACAAAGAAAAGAAAAAGGATCCAAATAAGCTCAATCAGAAATAACAAAGATGACATTACAAATGATCCCACAGACATACAAAACATCCTCAGAGACTACCATGAACACCTCTATGTACACAAATTAGAAAATCTAGAAGAAATAGATACATTTCTGGAAACACACAACCTCCAAAGATTTAACCAGGAAGAAAGTAAAAACCTGAAGAGACAAATAACATGTTCCAAAACTGAATCAGCAATTTTAAAAACCTACCCACCTTCTTGTACCAAGGTCCCATACCCTGTGGGGGTGTAAAATGCAGGAACTCCAGCTCCGCCCGCACGGATCCTCTCCGCAAGTGTGCCCTGTGGTGTCAGCTCCACTTCTAATTCACCAGATAAGTACTGTCGTTCAAATTCTGCATTTTCTCCCACATATGAAGAGATCATGCGTTTCATCTGCTTGGACCGAAGCAAAAGCCCCAAAGCAAAATTGTCAACCCCTGCGTTGTTGCTGACTGCAGTCAGTCCTTTTACTCCAGTTTTCAGTAAAGCACCTATAAGATTCTCTGGAATTCCACATAGCCCAAAACCACCAACCAAAACCGTTGCACCATCAGGAATGTCTTTTACAGCTTCTACTGGATCTGTATAAAACTTGGTATGGCGATGAGCACTGGTGGAAAAGGAACAAACACATCCCTTGTACCAGGCTTCCCTAGATCCGCGGGCAGAGGCGCAGAGCCGAAGGCCAGAGGAGAGGAGTTTGAGAGCCGCCATTTTCGGGCCTGAGGCAGGAGGAGGCTACCGGGTGGAGCGCGCGTTTGAGCGTCGGTGCGCGCTGTCCCGGGCGCAGCCGATTCACTGCGAAGAAAAGAGGGGCGGGCTGGAGCCTCCACAGCGCGGCTATGACGTCCTCCCGGCCTTTCGAGGAGCATCGCCCATCCGATACAACAAAGATGGCAGTGTTGCCATTACCAGTAAGCCAAGAGAGGCGAGGGAGTTCAATGGTCAGCACTTTATTTTGGAGGAAGCAATTACAGGGGATTTTGCTTTGGTGAAAACCTGGAAGGCGGACCGAGCAGGAAACGCGATTTTCAGGAAAAGTGCAAGGAATTTCAACTTGCCAATGTGCAAAGCTGCAGAAACCACAGTGGTAGAGGTTGAAGAAATTGTGGATATTGGAGCATTTGCTCCAGAAGACATCCATATTCGTCAGATTTATGTACATCGCCTTATAAAGGGAGAAAAATATGAGAAAAGAATTGAGCCTTTATCAATCCGGAAAGAGGGAGATGAGGAAGCCAAATCTGCTAAACCTGGAGATGACGTAAGGGAACGAATCATCAAGAGGGCCGCTCTTGAGTTTGAGGATGGCATGTATGTTAATTTGGGCATAGGAATCCCTCTCCTGGCCAGCAACTTTATCAGCCCAAATATGACTGTTCATCTTCAAAGTGAAAATGGAGTCCTGGGTTTGGGTCCACACCCACGACAACATGAAGCTGATGCAGATCTCATCAATACAGGCAAGGAAACAGTTACTATTCTTCCAGGAGCCTCCTTTTTCTCCAGCGATGAATCATTTGCAATGATTAGAGGGGGACATGTCGATCTGACAATGCTAGGAGCAATGCAGGTTTCCAAATATGGCTAACTGGATGATACCTGGGAAGATGGTGAAAGGAATGGGAGGTGCTATGGATGTAGCGTCCAGTGCCAAAACCAAAGTGGTGGTCACCATGGAGCATTCTGCAAAGGGAAATGCACATAAAATCATGGAGAACTGTACATTACCATTGACTGGAAAGCAATGTGTCAACCGCATTATTACTGAAAAGACTGTGTTTGATGTGGACAAGAAAAAAGGGCTGACTCTGATTGAGCTCTGGGAAGGTCTGACAGTGGATGACACACAGAAGAGTACCGGGTGTGATTTTGCAGTTTCACCAAAACTCATGCCAATGCAGCAGATCGCAAATTGAAACATGAATATTTGTACCAGGCTGCGTGTTTTTCATTTTAAACACATAGGATTTAATTGAAAGGCCACCAGTAATCATAATTGTGTATTTAACAGGTGGGTTTTGATTAGTTTTCTTCTAGGGTTTCAGACTTTATGCATCCATATAAACTGTTCTCTAGGCATGCTGTGACATTTTAATAAAAAGCAAAAGGAGCATTTATAATTATCTCATTTGTTAAGTACCGAGAAGGTTGTCTTTATAATAGGTAATTATATTGAATGCATTTTCACTGAATATGGTATGTATGCTAAATTATATGAACCTTTCCCAAAGAAGGGCCCTATAAATTGATGTGGCTTTCCTCTTAACTATTAATTATTAATCCTGAAAGAAAGATAACATATTTGATTTTCTGGTTAGGAGAGTTGCTTTCATGTTTTTTTTTTTTTTTTTCAACCTCCTCTGACTTTTCTTTTGGGGCTTCAGATTTTATGATTACATCTTGTCCCCCTAGAGCATCCCCCTTCTTCCCATACTGCTTTTAAACAGATGCCCAAGAAGGCAAGCAGGAATGTCTCTTGTAGGGGAGAGCAGGGAGAAATAATTAGTTCAAACCAACTATCTATCTGTGCTTTTCAAAGACTAAGGCATATTATAGGAATAGGAACAGAAGAAACTGATTCTTCTGTTTTCTCATTTTAAAACAGCCCAGTATTCCTTTGTATTCTCAAGGGTCCTTGAGAATATTTCTGTTATTGAGACCCTGTGGGCTACTTGTGCTGTACCTCCTCTCAAGCCAAGAAGGGCTGCAGGATAATTTACCATGAATCCTTAGTAGCAATGACAGCAGAGTTAAAACATAAAAGGTGCTTTACTTTCAGGCTCTCGTTTTGGTTCAGAAAAGATTTTAAATATTGAATGACACTTCTACAGAACAACGATTTTTCTTCTGCCAAGGCTACTTCCTTTAACAAAGTGTCTTTAATTCAGCCTTGTCCAACTAGGGAAAATAATGATGGACAAGTCTAGGATTTGAAGTCAGTGAACTTTTAGTGTCAGGGAATAAACATGGTGGGTAGATCAGATTTGAAAGAAACTTCCTTAGAGGTATTCTCAATACTAGACAGGGGCCCATGGGAATGACTTCAGAAGCATCCCTGATAATAGATGGGTAAGAAGTCTAGGCACCCTGAAGAACAGGTGAGATAGCTGGCCTCTGGACAGAGGTAGGCATAGTACAGTACAATATATCATTCCTCTGGTCCTAAATATAGGAACTTATTCATGTTTTTAGGTGATGGTGGTCATTGAAACTCACTTCTCTTCTGGTGTAGCTACAATTGTGTAATATACAATATTAGAGAAAGGACAGGCTTTTAATAAGTAACACACACCATATATAAAATAGCCTTTCTGGCTGGCCACATGGTTAAATGCATACCTTCCCAGTACTGCGGGGAAAAAAATGACCTTTCTTAGAATGTGCAAGTTTCATGAGAGTAATATATTGATATGACTTTGAAAAGAATTGTTGATAGTTACATCTTCAAACTTGCTTATCATTCCAGTATGCGTCTTTAAGATATTGTGATTCTAAGTAGATGACTTTATATTCTTGATTAAAGAGTGCTATACTTGCTAAGAAATGCATTAAGGAATATAATAAATATTCCAAAGTGAAAAAAAAAAAAACCTACCAACCTAAAAGAGCCCAAGAATAGATTAATTCTGACATGATCTGGCTCTGTGTGCCCACCCAAATCTCATCTTGAATTGTAATCTGAATTGTAATCCCCAGGTGTTGGGGGACGGACCTCATAGGAGGTGATTAGATTATTGTGACGGTCCCCCTATGCTGTTCTCATGATAGAGAGAGAGTTCTCATGAGATCTGATGATTGTATAAGGGGCTTTCTCCCCTTCACCCATTCTTCTCTCTCGTCACCATGTGAAGAAGGATCTGTTGCTCTCCCTTCTGCCATGATTGTAACCTTCCTGAGGCCTCCCCAGCCATGTGGAACTGCAATTAAACCCTTTTGCTGTATTAATTACCCAATCTCAGGTATTTCTTTATAGAAGCATGAGAACAGACTAACACAGATTCACAACCAAATTCTACCAGTCATACAAAGAATTGATATGAATCCTACTGAAACTATTTCAAAACATTTAGGAAAGAGGGCTTCTCCCTAACTCATTCTATGAAGTCAGCATCATCCTGATATCAAAATCTGTCAGAGACACAACAACAAAAAGAAAACTTTAGGCCAATATCCATGATGAAGATAAACACAAAAATCCTCAGCAAAATACTAGCATACCAAATCCAGTAGCACATCAAAAAGTTAATTCACCATGATCAAGTAGGCTTTATTCCTGGGATGCAAGGTTAATTCAACACACACAAATCAATAAATGTGATTCACCACGCAAGCAGAATCAAAAACAAAAATCATATGATTATCTCAGAGATGCAGAAAAATATTTCAATAAAATCCAACATTTCATCATGATAAAAATCCTCAACAGACTAGGCAGCAAAGGAACACACTTCAAAATAAGAAGCGCCATCTATGACAAATCCACAACCAACATTATACTGAACAGGCAAAAGCTGGTACCATTTCCCAGGAGAACTGGAACAAGACAAGGATGCCTACTCCCACCACTCCTATTCAACATAGTAGAGGGAGGCCTAGCCAGAGCAATCAGTCAGAGAAAGAAATAAGGTCATCCAAATAGGAAAATAAAAAGTCAAACTATCTCTCTTTGCTGATGATATATTTCTATACATAGAAAACCCTAAAGATTCTCCCAAAAGGCTCCTGGAACTGTAAACATATTCAGTAAAGTTTCAGGATACGAAATTATTGTATAAAAATTAGTAGCATTTCTTTACTTCAGTGACATTCTAGCTGAGAACAAAGTCAAGAACACAATCCCATACACAATAGCCACAAAAAATGAAGCATCTAGGAATGTATGTAACCAAGGATGTGAAAGATCTCTACAAGGAGAATGACAAAACACTGCTGAAATAAATCAGAGATGACACAAATCTATGGAAAAATATCCTATGCTCACTGATTTGAAAACTCACTATTGTTAAAATGGTCATACTGCCCAAAGCAATTTACAGATTCATTCCTATCCCTATCAAAATACTAATGTCATTTTTCACAGAATTGGAAAAATCTACTCTGAAATTCATATGGAACCAAAAAAGAATCCAAACAGTCAAAGCAATCCTAAACAAAAAGAACAAGCCAAAAGCATCATATGATCAGATTTTAAACTATACTCTAAGGCTAAGAAGCCAAGCCAGCATGGTACTGGTACAAAAACAGACATATAGAAAAATAGAACAGAATAAAGAGCATGGAAATAAAGTCACATACTTATAACCATTAGATCTTTGAGAAAACTGACCAAAATAAGCAATGGAGAAAGGACTACCTATTCAATGAATGATATTGGGATGACTAGCTAGCCATATGCAGAATAATGAAACTGGAACTCCTACCTCTCAACATGTACAAAAATTAACTCAAGATCGATTAAAGACTTAAATATAAAACCTTAAACTATAAAAATCCTAGAAGATAACCTAGGAATTTCCCTTCTCAACATGGGCTTTGGCAAAGAATTTAAGGCTATGTCTCTAGGAGCAATTGCAACAAAAACAAAAAGGACCTAATTAAACTAAAGAACTTCTGCACGGCAAAAGAAATTACCAACAAAGTAAACAGCCTACAGAATGGGAGAAAATATTCACAAACCATACGTCTGACAAAAGTCTAATATCCAGCATCTACAAGGAATTTAAATCAACAAGCACAAAACAAACTAACTAATTAAAAAGTAGGCAAATGAAATGAACAGACACTTCTCAAAAGAAGATGTACAAGTGGCCAAGAAACATGAAAAAATGATTGACGTCATTAATCATCAGAGAAATGCAAACCAAACAACAACGAGGTACTGTCTCACATCAGTCAGAGTGGCTATTATTAAAAAGTCAAAAAATAACAGATGCTGGCCAGGTTGCAGAGAAAAGGGAGCACTTATACATTGCTGGTAGGAATGCAAACTAGGTCAGCCACTGTGGAAAGCAGTTTGGAGATTTCCCAAAGAACAGAAAACAGAACTACCATTCAACCTAGCAATCCCACTACTGGGTATATGCCCAAAGGAAAATAATTTATTATATCAAAAAGAAACATGCACCTGTGTGTTCATTGCAGTGCTAGTCATAATAGCAAAGACATGGAATCAGCATAGGTAGGTACCCTTCAACAGTGGCTTGGATAAAGAAAATGTGTTATATGTATACCATGGAATACTGTGCAATAATCAAAAAGGATAAAATTATATACTTTGCAGCAACATGGATGGAGCTTGAGGCCATTATCCTAAGAGAATTAATGCAAAAACAGAAAAACAAATGCCACATATTCTCACATATAAGTGGGAGCTAAACATTGAATACCCATAGACACAAAGATGGGGAACACGGGGGACTACTAGACAGGAGAGGGAAGGAGGGAGGCAGGCATGGGCTAAAAAACCATATATTGGGTACTATGCTCATCACCTGTGTAATGAGATCAGTTGTACCATAAACCTCAACATCGTGCAATATGTAACATGTAACAAACCTGCACATGTACCCCTTAATCTATAGTAAAAGTTGAAATTACAAATAATTATATTTAAATGAAAACACCCAATTCTCCCAGAATTCCTATTCCCTACTACACTTTATTTACTTCCACAGCAGTACTATTATTTAATTTATGTGAATCTGCAGTGTCCATGTCTCTCCACTAGAATGTAAGCTCAATGGGGCAGGGGTTTGTATTTGTTTTATTCACCAATGTATTCCTAGTGCCTAAGTGCCTGGAACATACTGGAACATGGTAGGTGCTCGATAAACATTTGTTGAATGTGTGAATGATGACAGTGAATAAATGATGAGAATAATAGAATCTCAAGACTGAAAGGAAACTACCAAGTCACCTGATGACCCAATCTCTTTTCTTTCATTTACTGGCTCTGATCATGGTAACAGACAAAGTGGGTGACAGGGGAAATAATTCAGGTATCTAACTGGGAAATTACCTGAGAAAATTTGGATCTTCATACCCAGGGGGAAGGGGAGAGGGCAACAGATGGGGCCAGAGAATGTAAACACTCAGCCTCGTGTTTTTGTTTTCCTGATGGGTCCAACTAGAGAAGAATGAGGAGGATTCTCAATGCAGTATGTACTCTGCAGTTGATCAGTCAGTCTCAGGTATTTATTGGCCACTTACCATGTTCCCATAGATATTAGTGACCAGTTTCTATATGACAAGCACCCTATCAAGCACATAGGATAGCAAACAGGACAGACCCAGACTCTGCACTCTTGGAGCTTAAAGTCTATTAGGGAAAACAGCCATCCAGCAGTTCCTTACAATTGTGGAAGTGCCATTACATGGATGTGTAGAGTGCCCTAGGGGCATGTAAAAAGACTATCTAAGCATCCTGTAGAATCAGAGAAAGCCACCCAAGAAAGCACTGAAGCTCTTCTGTAACCCTTTCAATACATAGAATGCAAAAGTAAGTCTGAAGGTAAGACCCCAAAGGAATAGGGTCCTAATCCTGGAAGTGGATTTTGGACCCTCAGCTTATTCTGTGACCTCTAGGCAAGTCACTCTGCTTCTTGGAGTTTCAATTTCTTTTTCTTGTTTGTGTTTTCAGATTCTGATATTTTATCATTTCTGGAAGACATAAGAATCCAGTTAGTCAAAGTCCAGAATAGAAATTAGATGGGAGGATTGATTCTTCCCATAGGAAACATATGTGTTGAGGATGAATTACTTTGGTAGTTGATGAGAGAAGAAAACTGGAACAATATAAGAAGGGACTTGTGAATAGGGAGGAGGAGTGGGGCATGGGATGGGACTGAGGGTTTTGACTGGGACAACTTTTGAATTGAAAGACAACTAGAACAAATCATTTTAACAATAAATACTATTTGTTGGTATTTAGAACTTTGATACATACACTATCTCATTTTATCCTCACCAAAAGTCTGTGAATTATGATTGCACCTGTCTTGCAATTTAAAAAACTGAGTTTGAAAGCAACAAATCAGAACATGGCAAAGCAGAAAGTAAATTTGTGCTCCTAGCTCTAGAATCCCACTAGGAAACTCAGCAAAGAAAATGCGGATAAGCTGCTGTATAGAGATGGCTCCGGAAGGTTCTGATTCTGATCCCAGATGCAGTGGAGGGCATCAGAGGAGGAAAAAGTCACAGCTGGATCCTTAACCAAAACAGACTAACAGAAAGCTTCCAAGTATGGGCAGCTGGGAGCTCTGGACAGGAGTAGAAACTTCAGAGAAGACCACTGCCTACTCATCAAGAGACATCCTTTTAAGGCAAGAAGGGTCCATCCTCCTTTACTCAGCATGATGGGGCTGGGACTGAGGAAAGCCATTATTGCATTTGTTCACATATTCAGCAAACACTCCTTGAAATTCTACTATGTTCCAGCCCTAGCCTATGATTAAACAAAAGGGAACACTTGTACACTGCTGCTGGGAATGAAACTATAGCCATATGGAAAACAGTATGGAGGTTCCTCAAAAAAATAAAAATTCATTGATACCACTTCTGGATATATATATAAAGAATA